GTTGTTGTTGTTAAGTGCCGTGGAGTCGGTTCCGACTCATAGCGGCCCTGTACAGAGTTTCCGAGGCTGTAAATCTTTACGGGAGCAGAACGCCTCATCTTTCTCCCGTGGAACCGCTGGTAGTTTCGAACTGCGGACCTTGAGGTTCACAGCCCGATTCGTAACCACTACGCTACCAGAGCTCCTTAATTACTTACAGTATTTACAGCTATTATATATAATCTATTGGTATATTTAAATCTACCATTTACAGGTAGTCTCCACAGTATAAATCAGTTTCATTCCTAATCTCTCTTTAAATTGAACTTTTATGTAAGTTGAAACAGTTAAGTATGGTTCTTATCTAATACCACTTAATCAAATGTTTGTGCATATTTGTTGTTGTTGTTAGGGGCCATCGAGTTGATTCTGACTCATAGTGACCCTAGTAGTATATGGTTTCTGAAGCTGTAAATCTTTACCGGAACAGAAAGCCTCATCTTTCTCCTACAGAGCAACTGATGGGTTTGAACTGCCAACCTTGTGGTTAGCAGTCTATTGTATATCTCAAAATGTTTAACAATTTACATTTATCATGTGAAAATGTTAAAGTACATATAGGAATATATAAGAAAATATGTTCTGTCATCTTATTACTCAGAGAGAGATAACCTCTATTAACAATTTCATTGATGTATATCTTTCACTTTGAGTGATTTTGCTGCACATCTTTTTATTTCTGATAAAATTTTAATTTGATTTTTAATTACAGAGGTAGTACATGTATTCATTTTTAAAAGAAATTATACGAAGTAAGGAGTCCTGGTATGATGCTGTGAGAAAGCACTGGACTGTAAAGTCAGTTTGAGTCATAAGATTAGTGGGTCATACTCACCAGCTGCTCCTTTGAAATCCTATACAGGGTCGCTATGAGTTGGAACCAAGTCCATGGCACTTACCAACAGCAACATACCAAGTGAAAAATTGATAATAAGCTCCTCTCCCCCCTTAATATATTCTTATTTAAGAATTTCTGTTTGTTATTCTGGTAGTTACATTTATTTATTTTTAAATGTATGTACTTGGAAACAGTCCAGTGGACTAATGGAGTATGCAAACATCAGTATCCTTAACTGAGCTCAGAAGAGCTAGATGGTGCTTGACTACTTCTACTAAGTAATCTGAAAGAGATCACATTAGAAGGTACTGGGACGAGTAGGAGAAAAATGTGGAACAAAACTTAAATTCATAAACACAACCAGGCCTACTGTTTGGATAGAGCCTGATGGAACTCCCAAGACTATAGTTAAAGTTCAGGTCTCAGTTTCCAGCCAAATGATAGACAGATGTATAAGGGAAACAATAACACCACGGAGGTACACATACCTTAGTGTAATCAGTCATTTGAGATGAAAAAAGCAGAATTTACCCCAGGGAAAAGTTCAACAGGGTTATGAACAAAGGGCCAATTGAAACAGAAACCAGGGAGGAAGTGGGGTAAATGATGCTTCAATGTGGGAACTACAACCAATTAGATGAAACAAAATGTTTGTGGATTGTTGAATGGAAAATTGATTGGCTCTGTAAGCTTTCACCTAATTCACAATGAAAAAAACCCAAAAACATACTCTTACCCCTACTTGGTTTATAATTTTAGACAATATTGGTAATATTATTTTGGCATTTTTGACTCATGTACATTGATTGATAGGGACTAGCAGAAATTCAAGCTAAATTCTAAAAGGACATGGATTGAGGGAGACGTCTTGCTGATGTCAGATAGATCTTGGCTGAAAGCAGAGAATACCTGAAAGATGTTGATTTGTGTTTTATTGACTGTGCAAAGGCATTTGACTGTGTGGATCAAAACAAACTATGGATAACATTGTGAAGAATGGGAATTCCAGAGCATTTAGTTGTGTTCTTGTGGAACCTGTACATAGACCAAGAAGCAGTCTTTTTTTTTTTTTTTTTTAATGTTTTATTGTGAATTATATGATAGTTTACATGAGAGAACTTTAGTTTTACATTCATTATTGTATATCATTTCATTGCCATGGTTCCAATCCCCTCCATGGATCATCTTCCGACCAAAGGGTGTATCCTAGAAATCCGTCCTCTACCCTTCCCCACCCCCCCATCCCCACGCCCCAGTCTTCGGCCCATAGTCCCTCTCCCTCTCTGGATCCAAAGTCCCTAGCTGCTTCATCACTCCACGTCATCATCTCTGTCTCTATCTCAGGCATCTCTGCTTCTCTGGGTAGGGTCCTGCTCTTGGCTCTTCTCCGTTGGTGGTCCCAGAGACCTCCGCTCCTA